AAATACCCTCCAATTCAGCAAGCTTTTGAATTTTTCATAAGACTTCAACTAATCATTCAATTAAATTCAAAAAGCATTTATTAAATATCTATTTAAAGTAAGTTGAAATATAAAAAGAAACTACTGTGAGCTATGTTCATGAAAATTAAAAGCAATACCCACTCCCCCAACACCTTTGGCCAGTAAACAACATGTATTTTGGAATAAAACTATGGATCATCCCACCTATGTTAGAGATAATCTGAACCATTCCAGATATGACATTGTCTTAAAATGTATTGAATCTGACACTACATTTTAAAATCTTAAATAGGAAAAAAATCAAACGTTTTTTCATTTGGGTCATGAAGATGAAATACATCATTTAAAAACCCCAAGATAAAAAGCACTGAGTTAAAACAGAACAAAACAAAACAAAAAAACCAAAACCACTGACAGTTACATCAGTTACAGTTATTTCATGTTATATTATGTTACATTATGACATATATTAGTTATATTATGACAGTTATATCAGTACAGGTCAAAACTGTGACTAATATAAAGTGGACCTTCACACTATAAGACTCCTTTACCGATGCTGCTGCTGGAACTTCCAGAGTTTGGTGTAAACATCAAAAGTTCTTCCAAAATAGGACTGCCACTGTTTCTGTCCATATTGTGGCAAATCTCTGTAACAACAAACATATTAATTTTTAATCTCTTTTGCTGTTTGCAAATTAAGTCTTGTGATGGTATAAACTGGATAGATTTAAAGTACCTGCATCAAGTCTTTCTTTACAAAAAAAAGTTCTAATTTTTGGAGCAGAAAGTAGTTCCATAACAAGGGTCCAGGACATGTTCTTTCCTATTCTTCCCCTTACCTCTGACCACTCATTGTAAGTGTCCTCGCCCAAAAGGTTTCTAACACTCTCTTTGCTCTCCCTGGATGATCTTATTCATACTCACCCAAATACTGGCAACTTCCAAATGTTTCTCTTAAGAACTCAGCAGTTTGAAAAACATTGCTGAAGGGAATATATCTACTGTCTATAGATGTGAGTGTGCAGGTGGTATCACTGATCTCAACTATTCTGTCCCCTCCTTATGAGAAAGATATTATCTCTGTCCTTGGGCCTGGTGACATACAGAACATGTCTCTGAGACAAATACTCTCCATCATACAAACGTTGGGCCTGGCCATATTAACTTGCTTGAGGTGGTATTTCATACCGTTTTATTGTCTGGGGGCAAAGGATGTATATCCTTCCAAATTTTAAACTGATACACAGGTACAGTATTTTTCTTGTTTAATAAACTTTTTTCGCTTTCTATATCAGGAGTATTTTTTCATGTTAATATATATACATGAACAGCACTATCATATACATACATGTTCAGAATTGGCAGAAAGACCACACACACAAACACTTGTATACATTTTTTGTTTATGCAGTGTAGGAGGCATAATTTTATGGGAATGAGATAGCTACAGAGCAGGAGCAAATACTGGTCTCTATGGGGATCTGAACTCTTGACCTTGGTGTTGTAAGGCCACACTCTACCAACTGAGCTAACTGGCCAGCCCCAAGCAAGGGGTGGTTT